ATTTCAGGGAGCTGAGTAATTTGCAAACTATAAAGAACTACCTTGCATGTTATTCCCACCTGCAGAATCACAGGGAACTCTGTAAATGACTAATTTATGTTAGACCAACTGAAAGGACCAGAGAGCAAGTCAAGAGAATGTCCAAAAGTAGACAGAAAAGTAGGAATCAGCCAGTAAGTAAAACAGCATGAAAGCACTGTAGACCTAGATAATGTTTTCCAAGCTGGAGGTCATACAATCCATTAATGAACTGTGAAGCCAATTTAATGGGTTGCAGCTAGCAGTGTTTTTCAAAACAAAATAGAACAGATAATATCAGAATAGACTGCAATTGTAATGAAAAACAGCATTATATGAAACTTGCATCTGTTATATATATATGCTTATGTTTCCATGGCATCACAATATTGTTGGGGATTACCCTCAAGAAACTTGAAAGCCACAGATCTAGACTATCACAAAGCTGGATTCAAAGAAGCTGTCTTCATAAATCTTTATAATATAGATCAGATAACAAATTTTCTAACATTTGTTACATCTGTGAGGTCAGGGATATATACAATATCCTGCAATTAATCTCTAACCCCATCCCCGCCCAAATCACGTGAAGGCACTAAATGAAAACCTTAGCATAAATTCGTGTATGAAACAAAAGAAGGGTGAGGACAACCAACTCCTACTAACTGTAATAACTGTCTGTTCTGTAGGCTGGTGAGCTCCAACATGGTATACTCTGCTCAGTTTCATGTAGTACACACTAAGACACTATAACAGAGAAAGATGAAGTCTTTGGGGACACAATGCCAGCCATGCTTAACCTGAAGCTAATAATAGAACATCATGGCTGTTGTCTTCAACTCAGGTCATGTGGTTCTTTTCATGACAACCTTGCAAAAGCTTGCCACTGCACTAGGAATCTAACGGCGTTCCCCTGAATCTGGTCTTGTCAACTTTTTTCATCTGCTCCAGCAGATCTTCTGTAGGCAAAGCTTATCCTGCATTTGCCCCTTGTAGGAAATGTTCTTCAGTCAGCCTGCAAGATTATTTCTTGGTTTCATTTAAAGCTACCTCTTTTGCATCCCTTAAATCTTAATTCAAACATCACCTCCTCAGAGATGCCTGCCCCTTTCTAAAGTAGTTTCACTACTAGCCCTTCTCTTGCACACCACTAAAAAATCATCTTGTTTCTTCATTTGCTTTCTCATCTATTTTTTCCTACCTCAAGATAAGCTTCTTAAAGACACACTTGTCTCACTGAGGCTATCTTCCTTGTCCCTAAAATAGCATCTTCATAACACAGACAGTAAAACTATTTTTTGAGTGAATTAATTTAAACAAAATCAATGAATTACTCTTCCTGCTTTTTCTGTATCTTCACCACCATCATCTTAACAGAAGCAATTTAAACAGTGTATCACAGTGTTTGGAAAACTATTGCATATTTTGTTAGGAATTAATTAGGAAGTAAGGGATAAACATAGGGTGGTTACTATTCATATTTTTATCTTTATAAATCCAGAAACTATATTTTAGAAGATTAATGGCTTGATCAAGGTCCTGGAAGCAATGAACACAAAAACCCAGGTGCTCTCCATTCTCTCTAGAACATCATTCTATTTCTCACGTTCATAATAAAGCAAAAGGGAAAGTAAGCTGTTGCATAATGTGGGAAGTAAAGCCAATAAATAATAAGAGTGGAGAGTTAGAGGACACCGAACTGTACAACAGCCTGAATACTATGAAGGATTTTGCATATGCCTCAGGCAACAGAGAACCCTCAAAGATTTGGAAAAAAGTAACAATCAGATGTCTTGGAGGAAGATAACTCTAGAGGAAATAGTGCAGAATGGATTAAAGAAAAATATCAGAAGCAAAAGAGGGTATTTCCTCTTGTATTATTATGAAATAATTATGGACTAAGCATGGAAAGTAGAGAAAATACGAGAGAATGTATGTGGTGGTGGTAGTAGACAGGGAATTAAAAAAAAAAGAAGGCCCCTGAGGATTTTTCAATTTTGAGGATCTGAACATGGTTTGAATACCAGCGACATTCAGATTTAGTATTTATAATTTTTAATCTGTATTCAAAGAATTACTATCCTATGTTGTCATATTTACAGCATTGGTTCTGAAAACTGATTGGAAATGTGGCCTTCCATAAAACTTTATTTGCTGTAAATAGGGTAGAAATATGGATGATATTACATGTTAATTTGTTATTATAAAATCAACAGGAAATGCAAAAGAGAATTAAAAAATGCAAAGACTTGCTAATCTCAATTATAAATGACTCAAGTTAAAATGGTATCTTTGATTTTTGAAGTATATTTTGTAAAAAGCAAAGCATAAGTGCATAAATGTAAAAATGTTTCTAAAGCACTGTATATTTGCATTTTAAAAATCCCCAAAATATCTCCTTTGCAGAAGTTAGATGCATTTGTCTCCATAACAGACTTTAAAGTAAAACTTACTCAGATTATTCAAGAACTATATCCATATTTATTTGTAGTTTCATGGAAAAATCAGGCCCTACAGATTTCATCCTCAGTAAAATCAGAAAATGCATCAACATACAGTAAAACAGCTCTCACATTTTCTGTGAGCAAAACAAATTTGTATAGTCAGCTATATTTTCAATTACTTTTTAGCACCAACTTTACAAGCAAACTTAAAATCTGCTCTTAAAAATATGACAACATAGAGTAATAATTCTCAAAGTGAAAATTAGAATCCACAAAAATAAGTGTCAGGATTTCTATCTTTGTTATCTTTGTATATTCTTTGTTAGTAGATAAGTTTTCTTGATCCTTTAGCAGGATATTTTTCTGCATCCAAAGAACCATAGTAAGCAGAGTTCAAACTTTAATTTTTGGTGTTGAAAGCACTTAAACTTCAATTTCAAGTATCAAAACCTTCCCTTTGTAGAGAAGACAAGCAGGGAGAAAAGAAATTTTCTTATTTTTAAAAACTAGTAAAAGAAATTATTTTACTGATGATTGATCCATCAAAACAACAGTCTCTACTTCCTCAGTGGCTTCACTTTAGGTATGTTTTAGACTGCACAAAAATTATATTAATATGTATTATATATATAAAACCACATTATCCTAAGTGAGTTGATTTTAATAAAACTTGGTATTAGAAATTCTTAAACCTATTCAAATTAATTTTATTTCTATATCACATAATTTGAATTAGCATATCACCTAAACTTGAAGATGTATTTGTTTTTAAACCCTGTTAAGAACTTTTGTGAGAGGCAGTACCAGGCACACTAAAAAGTTCATTTTCAGAATTGTTATGATCTGGGTTTAACACTAAAATGCTGCATCTTTAGAACTGGATGACTTCACCATGTTCAGGGTGACAGTCTGCAAAACAGTCTTTAAAGAATACGCTTGTCCACCAGCTATGTGCAACTGGGTGCATGTGTGTAACTGTAACCTTGTATTTCTAAGTATATCAATGACAGATTCCTGTTACTACCTTCCAATCAGTAGAATAACAAAGTAGAAACATGTTCTTTACTAGTAATAAACGGTGGAGGCTTGGAACAGTTTCAGCATTTTTGTCCCAGAAATTCTCCACTAATTTACATTGGAAGCATTGTAATATCACAATTCAGCTTCACTGATAGTGCCACCCAAATATATTAATTGCTTATGGAATTTGTATCACACTGTTGAATTGTTTAAAAGCAGTAAAGCTCTAAAAAATGTAAAGTGGAAGGGAAAAGCAGCAGTTGGCATCAGTGCAAAATTTCATTTTCTCAAATTACTTGACAAAATTGAAATTCTGTGAAAGGGTTAAGCACTATCTTTCCATCATATTTTACACAAAGATATAATATCTGACATTCAGTGAATATTTACTGGATGTCTATTTATGTGCCAAGTACTGTTCTAGACATAAAAAACTAAATGACAGATTCATGGCCAGACAGAACCTTAGTAACAAAGCCAGAAAAACTTTAAAAATCTCTAGTCAAGTAATTTGGTATTTTTATTTCTCTACCTTTTTTTTCTTTTTTAGTGTAACTCCTTTATTCCTCAGAAGGCAATTTAAAAGTTCTTTATTTAAGGCAATTTCTTAAAAAATTCAGTAACTTTCAATGAATTTATGACACCAAAGACAGGCACAATAAAATTGAACCAACTTATTTTGGCCTAATTCTTACATTATTCTGGTTGTCCTCATTTTATGTGTCTTGGATTTATAAGAAAAGATGATCTCTGATGAATTTTAAGAGATCCTCTGTCACTCTCTTTATGTTATTCAATTTAAAAGTTATTTCTTCCATAGAATTTCTATTGTTTCTGAACTGCACAACTTTCTTTTCCATTGCTAATATGATGTTTTTACAGTCACATCTGATTCCATTTTTGGAACAAAGGACACTGCTATATTGTTAACTTAAGAATGAATAAACAGCAAATATTTCTTCTATTTTAAAATCTAAGGGAATATTTTCCTCATTTGCCACAGATCATCTTTAAGTTTTTCCCCTCTGCAGCAATCACATCCACATATTATTTTAATAAGTAAACATTTACAAATGATTACACATAGTGGTCAGCTGAAGATTTCTTCTACAATATAGTTTATTCATCATACTGTCTTGCCATTACATTATATGTGGAATAAAAAGAATCCTCTATGGTGACAATAAAAATCAGCACTTTTTAATTCAGTGCCTGCCTGAAGTCAAGTTAATAGAAGTATCCAATTGTCACGTGAAAGAAAACATTATACCTAACACAGAGTTGTGGGTATCTGTTTAGGATCTGAGCAGTAGTTTTAAGATTGTAAGAGCTGGTATAACAAGTACATCTCATTTCTTTTTTTTTTTTTTTTGGTACCGGGGATTGAACTCGGGACCTTGGGCTTGCGAGGCAGGAACCGGAACCACTAAGCTAAATCCCCAGCCCTCGCATTTCTTTTTAACCATGACCAAAAACACAACAGCAATAAAGGGAATGAAATTATACCGCATCACTTACCTAAAGAATGTGCAGCTGTGGTTTTGGAGCTGAAAAACCGACCAAGCCCAAGATCTCCAAGCTTTACCACCCCAGTGGCTGTAATGAACACATTAGCTGGTTTTATATCTGTGAATAAATGAAGGGATCAGGTGAAAGATGATGTAACTTTAGGAACTGTAAAGGCTGAGAAACTACTTATCATGGCAGTATTTAAATATTAAAGTTTGAATTTTAAAGCACTTCATTTTGAGTAATTTTGATAGTGTTTCAAAGTTCTCAATCCTCTGATAGGATCAACATAGCAGGACAAAGATCATTTATCAGTCTCCATTTAAAGTATATTTTGTTTTCTCTTTTCAAACAACCTTTTGTAAAATTCAAAGCTCAAAATAAATTTATCTTTAACAATTTTAAATAACATATTTTACTAAAGATTAATTTATTAGTATATATAAATCATGATTAACAATAATTATGTATCTTATTTAGATAGCTTTAGAAATCTTATCTAAGTAAACTGCTTTGAAAATTTCACATCCCCAAATCAGTGGGTTAATTACTTATTTAAGGTTACCTTAACACACTGTGCCTAATCATTTAACTGATCATGAATAGTATATTATAAACTAATGCTAAAGATTAAAACTCTTAAGTGGTCATTAATATACAGTACACTGTTCACTTGGAGGAAGAAAAAAAAATTCCTTTTCCCTATATATTCAATTGCTTTCCCACATTTTATTTTCTTTGCCAACATAAGCTGACATGTTCAGAAGAGTCATGCAAAAAAATAATTTTCATTCTTACATAATACCAGGTAGAGCTTTACTTACCTCTATGCATAACTCTTCGAGAATGCATGTGTTCCAATGCACTGCAAAGCTGAACAAAGTACTTCCAAACAGTTCTTTCAGGAATTAGCCTCTTTTGTTTTTTAAAATGCTTTTAAAAAAATTAAAAAGAATAATTATGAGAATTAAAGCTTTAAGACAGATTCTCACATACAAAACTTGTCAGAAATACACCTACTTTAATCTGTTAAAAGAAAATGATTTTACCTGACATAACTTAACTTTCTTCCTATTGTAACTAAGGTTACCACAGACCATATAAAGCTACATCTCTCTAATGTTCAACTGCTTCAAAAAATTAATACCTATACAAGATAATTTCTCCTAAAAGAAAGTTGTCAAATTTCATTTTAAGAAAAGCCAGAATTTAAAAAGTCCAGAAATCTTAAGGTACTTATTATATTCATCAAAAGACAGTTCTTCTCCTGGTAGAAAGTTTCAACTACAGAATTCCTTTTAAATGTTGAGCCACCTTAGTGATTTGAAATACTACAATTTATTGAAAATTAAAAGATATTTATGTAAAAAGTTTTCATGAATATTCCTATTGTGCAGTGCAAGGCAAACTTACATTTTGCTTTGAATGAATGAAACAAAACTCCATGGAAGCAAAGGAGAATCTTACAGGAAAGTGGGACAAAAAGTTGGGTGCACCAATAGGCTACTTAACAGACAGAAGGCTGTGGCTCTTCAGAGGGCAGGTACTAAAATAATTGCAAAGCCCAAAGGTATATACTTATGTTTTTCTATATTAAAGTTGCTAGATGACTATACTAACATACTCAAGAACAAAGTTCTTAGCTTCATCAGACAGATTCATTATATAAAAATCATTTTCCAAAAACAAAAATGTAATTGGTTTCCTATTTAACAATATTTATAAATGACCAACGTGAAGACATCCTGCATTTAAATAGGTTTTCATAAAATTTTCTGATAATTTTAACTTTTTAAAGTGTATTTTACTTAATAGAAGCTTGGCATGGTGATGCATGCCTGTAACCTCAGCACTTGGCAGGCAGAGACAGGAACAGTAAGAGTTTGAGGCCAGTTTAACTACATAGCAAGACTGTCTCTACTACCCTACAAAAAAAATAAATGAGATAGAAAGTATATATATTTCATAGATATCAAATTATAATTGTGTTCCTTAATGCATTTTATCTGGAAACTTGACATTTTGAAAAGTCTAATTTTATTTTTTGTTATTGAGTATAGAGAAACTACTAGAAAAAATTTAAAACTACTATCACTCAATTTTTACACCTGTGACCAGTTGAGGGCAGGCCAAAAAGGAACACAATACAAGAAAATCTGCTGGCATTTCACTTTATAGTTAGCAAAATACTCCACTGTCTCATATGCACTCAATATACCAAAACCATACATTTTTAAGAAAAAGCTAGTAATTATGGGTTAATCTTTACTGTAACATATTTATGGAAACAAATTTATTAGTTATTTCAATAGCTATTGCATCATTAATGTTATATCCTGAAAACCAAATTAACAATTAGATGGGTCTTACTAACATTTTGAAAACCTCTCATATCATGTTTCAATGTGAAAGATTTTTAATTTCAAACTCTGTCAACATCAGTTTTCAGTCAAAAGGGGAAATGCTGCAAAATCAGTTCTTTACACACAATTTTCTCTCAGACTTGGAATGAGTCCAAATAAAGCCAGTATATGTGCACTCCCCAATGCTACATTAGCATATCAGAGGACTGTTTGATGTCAACAGGAAGATGGGGGCCAGGTTTCTTTTCATTCAAAGATAAATATACCGTATCATGTAAGTATCATATCATGAAAGAAAAATTTTATGCTTTAATATAGATAATATCCTCATAACTATAATTAACTTGGCAGTTTGTTTTATTATTAAAAATAAATCAGATATAAAAAAGAAGGCACAATGAAAAACATTACTCTAAAAATGCACAAGGGAAGATGTTATCAGACCAAGATGACCTATTTTCATATTCTTTGAGACTCTTTAAATTTAAATGACAGTAAACCGATATGCTACCTAGGCAGAATGACCTGGCAAGGTTTAAGTATCCCATTTAGTAATGAGTGATTGAAGAACAGTACTATGAATTTTATTTTGCCAAAATATGTTAAAGACAATTCGATCATGTCACTGGTATCTGCCCAATTTTTTGTGTGTCTGTTTAAACATACTTGCTTTTTCCAAACATCTCTTAAATACAGGGCTTTTTGTTTTGTTTTTGTGAGAAAACCAACACTTAAAATGAGAAAAGCCTGTCTGTTCTGATGGTGGCACTGTTGGCTATCTCTTAAAAGAGAACGAACAGCAAAAAAAATTGAATGCTTTTAAATGTAGCTAAGATTTATAATGCCTAAGTATTACCCCCAAAACTGATTAAAACTTATACCAATAAATACATATATTTAAAAATTTTAACACCCCAGCCAAATAATACCACTATTCAAAAATCAATTTTCTTCTGAAAAAAGAGAGCCCTATGTAAATAGCTCTGGATTTTCAAATATCTAATGCAAACATACAAAACTTAAAAAATGTGTATATTTTTACACATTTTAAATAAAGTAACAATGTAAGTTTTTAAATAAAGCAACAAATAATGTGAACAAAATTTGTAAAGGTTTGTATCAATACTATATATTTAAATTATGTACTTTTATCACGTTAATGCTATGAGAAAAAACAGCTTTTTATACTTAAATGTTTAGATATTTTATATTTATGAACTGACAAAAATTATGCTCAGGTATACTGGATCACTTGGACAATTTGTTTAGTTTTTAAGTGGACTAGTCTTAAAATACTGTTTACTTTAAAAATATTTTATTAATATTCAAATTAATAATGGATGCTATTTAAATAGAAAAAATTTAGGTTTAACAAAAAATTTATCAATTTACAGAAAAAAATCAGATTATATTATAGCTGCACTTATCTGTACAGAGATTACCAACATTTTGCTTAGGTAAAATTCAGCATATATGGTAAAATACATCTGTAATCACCAAAATGATTTTCATTAATGTGAAAGAGACTACCTGAAGTAAACTGCTTCTATTCAAAGATTTTAGGTAATACACCTTAACAGTCAAAACATTTTTTAAATCACTAAACATCGTTCTTTAAATTAAATGGCCAAGACAAAACCCAATTATGCGATGGACACTGAATGCCTAAGTACTATATTCTTTGAACCCAATTGGATAACTTGGCTCTTGCCTAGGCACCACAACTCCAAGTAGAACATGCACTGGTTATTTCTAAGTTTTGCAATATAGCATTTTTCCTTGAGAGATCTCTGGAATAGCTTCACAGAAATTACTCAGCATAAATTCATTGAAAACAGAAAATGCTCTTGGACTTATAAAAAATATCTGGGAAGAAGACTATGAGACGGAGGGAGCCGAGGAGGGGAAGGGTACGTAAAAAGATTTAAAGTGCACCATGTACATGCTGCAGCTACCCATAATGAATGTAATCATTCTATAATGTCACAGACATGAACTAACAATTAATTACCAATCATAATGAAAATGGAGGTGGGGATCTCGACATGAAAGGAAAGACATGCGTAGGGAGGGGAAGAGGAATAAAAAGAATGAAAATATGTTAAGTATATGTACCTACTCCCTAAGATATATGTAAACAGTATGTACTACAAACATGTACTAAAATCAAATAAAGTATCTGTGGTATACAAAAATATTCAAGCCAACAGGTACGTCAATCTTCAGGAGATAATTTTCAGGCAAAACATCTAGAACCATCAGAGCCAGTTTCATGGAAATGCAACCTCTGCAGCCATGCAGGTCTAATACTTGGTTTAATGCCCTCTTATTGTTACTGTTATCTTGAAGATTCTTAATAAATTTTTAATAAAGGGGATCTACAATTATATAATTGGCCCTTAGAAATTATACTGTATCTAGCATCCTTTAGAAATGTACTCCTGTGGTTAAAAAAAAAGATAGAAAACAAAAACAGCAAATGTGATCCTGGCGTGCAAAGTATTTTTGAAAGAATTAAGAGAAAATGGTAATTAACTGAGAAGTAATGAAGTTATAAGAGAATTAGAATTACACGTACCATTGTTTGCCATCTCTTCAAACAAAGAGGAAGTGATTTATGTTAAAGAAACATTTCCTGTTTGGGATTGCTGGCAAATATTCAAATGTGCCATTAATATCACCTGTAGTCATCTTTTAATAATAGACTTGGTTATGAGGCTCGACCTTAAAGGTGTGACCTTAAACAAACAACTTAAACAGTATTAAACAGATTTGGAGATGATCTATGAAGTCTCCACTACCTCTAAATATATAATCTATGGTTTTACAATCTCTGTTATAAAGAAAGCACAACTAATGTCTGACTGGCACATTTTCACTTAAAAATAATGATAGTTTACTAATATGTCCTATTCTTATCTCCAGTTAATAAAAACAAAACTAAAAACTTCACTGGTTCATTTAATACTATAAATAGTCTCCAGAAGACAGGTATAGTTCTTTGTTATAAATTTGTAATTAGGTCAAATATTTACTATCAGAAGGGATGTTGTGTTCTAAAACATCTTTGTAATTACAAAGCCCTTTTTATAAAACTATTTTTCACTCATTAATTTCAAAGAATTAATTGCGCAGAGACTGGCAGTGGAAAAGAGAGTGTTTCTGAAAGTGTGACTGACTGCTCTAAGTGTGACTTGTATGTTACTCTTTCTATGGAGACATTCTTCTTCTAGAGGTATAATGAGGAACTGACAGATGACACAAATATTTGCTATATGCAACTTTTGATAAAGTATACAGATGTGTAAACTATACCTCAGTTAGAATTTTAGAATATAATACTAATTTGCAGTGTATGGATATTTTCAGTTTTGGTACTCTGAATAAAACTCAGATAAGTTGCAAGGGTGTAAAGCAGAATGGGCCTGGGAGCCAGGAGATGCTGCAAATATCCATTACCACCACCTCACTTTATCTGCTTTAATAAAATATTCACCACCAAATATTCACCAATACTCTACTCCTCTTTGTCTTTTTCTCTAATGTTGGAAAATCTAGGAGTGTGCATTT